GGGGCTCCTGGTGCCCCCACTGATGGGCTTTCTGGTTGAGATCCTGCTGTCACACTTGAGGGCAGCGAGGGTTCACTGAGAAGGTGAGGCTAGGCGAGCTGCCTGGGGGAAGGGAGAGGATCCAATGACCAAAAAGACACAGTGTGCTGCTCCCCCATCCTTCGAAGAATTCATCCTTCAGGTCCAAAGCCCCGAGAAAGGCATACTGGCCAAATGCGATGCCTTCAAGTGGGCCCAGCACCAGCCAACGGGCGTGCCCACGTCCTGTGCTTGTCCCAGGCTTCAGAGGCCAGAAGGGGTCAGCCCCCGGTGGATGGGACTGTGTGTGGTGGGGAGGAGGGGTGGTCAGAGTGTGGTGTGGAGGGCTGGGGGAGGGAAGAGGGGAGAGCTCACCAGTCTGAGGTAGATTTTGTACATTTGATTTCCGTTTCCTTTCCTAGACAGGACTGAACGTTCGCCATGTTGTGGGCTCGGCCTTCCACCGCCACAGCCCAGCATCCCCGTGAGTGGGGCTCTCCTGAACACTGCAGGGCTACTCAGCCGCGGGGTGAGCCTTGTGTGACGGTCACCCTTTCTTTCCAACCCGGGAGCAGCCCGGTCCACCGCAGGGGCCAGGAGGAGAGGGGCAGCTTTCTCATCTCATTCCCTGGGGCAGCTCTGCGAAGCCCACGGCCTCCGTGGCCGCGCCTGTCCTGAGGTGGGGATGTGTGTAGGGGAGATGGCCTGCCTCCTCCTGTAAGTGAGGGGTGGGGGTGTGGGACTAGTCCTGCTTGTAAAGGAACTCCCCATCTTTAAAAACTTTGTATTCGGCTACTTCTGTAGGGTAGAATCTGGTGTACCGCACTGGAAGCAGCTTAAAATGCATTTCAGGTTTAATATACTAAATATAGGATTTGAGGCATCCCATGTTTTTCATTTACTTCACTATCTGAGCAAGGTTTGAACGACCATTCTAGTGTTTTCAGATTCACACTTTCATATGTAATTAAGCCAACAAGTATTTTTAATCTCACTTTACAGTTAAGGACAGAAATTATAACTTGCGCCTAAGGTCATACATACAGCTGGAAGGGGCAGAGCCAGGGTTTTACTCAAATCTTTCAACTCTAAACTCAGTGTTCTTGGAAGAAGTGGAAGTTTGGTGGTCATTCAGTATTAGGTTCAAATGCTGACTCCAGGACACACTAGCTGTCGGCATGTGCAGTTAATGTGTAATATAATTGTAATGGATAATCTATAAAAATAACTACAAAAAACTCTGGATAGAATTCAAGTCCTAGCTCAGTAGATTTTTCCCATTTTTCCTTTATCCTCAGTCACTCCTACCTTCCACATTGGTTTCTATGACTTCTGCTTTGGCATTGTTTTAGAAAAGAGCCTTGAGGTTCCTAGGAGGTGGCTGTCAAGGGGCAGGTAGCATGTAGGGTTACTCTTTGGCTGTGGTACCTGGACCCAGGATGGAGTTTGAGAAGACCCATTTAAGTGGAATGAACCTGGTAATTCAACTCTCCTACCTAGGAACCAAGATTAATTAAACATAGTTAACACCTTTTCAGCTTTGCTTACAACGTGTTCAGAGATTCCAGACTAAGACTGCTGCCAATAGTAATGTAGAAAAAAAATCTTACTTTTCATCCTGGTAACCGGGGAGAAATAACATGAGGGAGGGAAATACCTTGTCTTCCACATACTCTGTGCAACCTCCAGACTGTCCACTTAAAGGACACAGCCAGCTTGAAGCACATGCACTGCCAGGGAGATACCATCTCCATACTTCTTTTTCATGATTTAATTTAATCTCTTGCCCACCCAGAGTCCCAAGCATCAATATAAAAAAAACCAAAAAACCCTCTTTCAAGTACCCAGCTCCCATGACCCATGGTCTCTGGAAGGCTCATGCTTTCAGAACCCCTTGCCGAACATGTTGGTAAAGTGAGTCAGAAAAGGGAAACACCACTTCATGTAAGTGGGAAGGCTCTTCTGTTGGATGACGGGGTGAATTCAGTTCAGTCTCTACAAAAGTGGGCAGGAAGGAAACCTTTGAGACGGTCGAGCACTCTCGTTTTACATAAGTGGAAACTGGATCAGAACACGTAACCTGCTTGAGTTAATGAGCGAGGTGAGTCTCCTGACCCAGATGTCCTGACTCTGGGCTCCAGTGTGCTTTGCACCACTCTGAGATCAGCTTTGTGGTAGCTCTGTATCAGACTAGTCATCCTCTTTTCCAACAGCAGTTGCTTGGTCCATTTACCAAAAAACACTAAAACAAGCATTTAAGAGAACTAGTTTTGTATTCTTAACGGTACTGTTTATGTTATCCGGGATCACATGCTTCTAGAAATGGGCTACAAGTCACCTCTGAGTTGGGTCTGTTCAAAAAGAGTAATTTTTTTTTATGATTTGGTCTCATCCTATGACCAAGTCTGCACATATATCCAACATCTTACTTTTCCTCTACACTTCCTTTCTAAACCATTCTGGGAAAGCCACCCTTCAACTTTCTTCCTCCAGTAAAGTTACTACTTTAGACTTTGGCAAAATGTGAGCACAGAGATGCAGAATTCAGTTGCTCCTGCCTGTTTTCTCCAGAAACCTCCCCGATGTGCTTGAGCGTGAGCAGAAAACCCAAGTGACTGGATGGGGGCTAGAAAAACTAACTAGGCAATTAGCAGTTTTCTCATTTGCCTAATTAAAAAGGTTTTTCTAATTGTGATACTAACGTTAAATTGATAATGAAGCTCTTAGTGGAATTTTTTAAATCCCAGTAATTTTTCTTCCTTGTGCATCAAAAAAAAGGTCACATGTATTTCTATAAACAGTAATTAGCGATGCCTCCTCTAGACAGCTCTCAGGGACAGCTTCAAGCTCTTAAATTTATAACCCATGCCATTGGTGACTGGCGCCTGGCAGGCTTGTTTTGCTCAGTGTTTCAGAAAGGTCTGAATGAGTTGTTGGCATTTAGAAGCTGGGAGACTTCACGAAAGTTCAAATTCTTGGTTCCTGTTGGAAACCCTGAAGGTGTAAGCTTCACATCACTGCTTCTCCTGTTGTGAAAGCAGTCACGGGTGCGTTAGGAGAGAGCAGCTCAGTAAACAAACGGCTGCCCTGCCCGTGCTGTGCTCACGGCGGTGCACTGACACCTGCGGGCCCTCCTCAGACACCCCCACCCCGATGCTGGCTGGTCCTGTCACCCAAGGACCACGGTGGGCAGAGCTGGGTGCCACACATGGACATCTAGCCGTCTTGGGTGCCCATTCCAATTTTACTACCCTCTCAGATGGCCTGTGATTTGTATCTGAAGTGAGAGGCTTAGACAGCAAATGGTATCTCCTTTCAGTTTTGGTGCTTTTAACTCACGAACTAGAAAGCAGTGTCAAGAACAGCAAATGCGTCCACAGGACGCATCATTTTCTTTTAATGAGCGCTGACCGGCGCTCCCGCTGACGTGTTATCAACGTCCCTCCGTGGGCAACAAGCTAAACGTTCCCCAGTTTGGTCTGAAGTGAGGGAAATAGAACCATGAGGGTTCTGCTTCACCCGTGGAGAGACTAGAGGCAGTGTTGTAACATTTGCTATTTATCTTAGGACCAAATCTGAAGACTTTCATGACTGACCAGACACTGGTAGCTAAATCTATGAATGCCTTTTAGCAACCACAGGCCTAGTTTTCTTGCCTAATTCTCTACAGGACTGCAAGACAGCTGCTTCCCTTCTCTTCTTCTGTAGATGGTTAATGGCAATAACAAGGATGACTAAGATTTAAAGATTACATTATTGTTGTGAATAAATATCCCTGCATTTCCTTAAACCTTTGGCAATCTGTACAACCCTTATATAAGGAAGTGAAAAAACAAATAGGGTGATTGTTACCAGGAACAAAAGCAACCACGACTTGAAAACTGAGGACAGCGAGTGACCTCAGCTTCTACCGGCCTTTCTCCAGGCTAGGAAGACTAAGGACTGCCTGCTATTTGTCAGCTGCCCATCGCAGCAGCCTTTGCTACAAGGATGCCCCCTGTTTGCAGTATACGTTCTGGAAAGGTCTTCATAATCAGTAAAGCCGCTCCTGTCTCATGTGACATTCTGACGGAACGAGCACTCTCGTACACTGCTAGTGTACATCAGGAAAATTCCTTTTGGAGGAAAATTGGTCGACGTCCATCAAAATTTTAAATGCATAACCTTTGTCCCAGTAATTATGCTGCTGAGAATTTATGTGCATCTGTACCAGTAAAGGGCAAAGTGTCTGAGGAAATCCAAGCCCATCACCCAGGGACTGGTTAAATTATGATATATCTAAAAGGAGACTATTAGGCAGTCATTGAAAGTACAGAATAAGGGAGACCTGTACACACTGATGTCGGAAGTCCACATACAAAGTGAACAAAGTCTCAGTGTATGTATCTACTTTGCTGCCATTTCTAAAAGATACATTAATATGAATTATGCTTTGACTATCTGAAGGCTACACTAGAAATGGATAACAGAGGTTACTTCTAGGGGGCAGAACTAATGGGTTGAAGGATGGAGAGGAGAAATCTCACTGACTTTTGGAATTTGAATTTGTGTGTGTGTTTGTTTCTGTGTGTGGTTTGAACTTCCTTTCCACTTCTAAGTTTTTAAAGTGAACCAGGGACATGATGACACACGTACTGAGAAGGGACGCTCCCACCACCAGTGTGTTTCTGCAGGGGCTCTGCCCAACCCAGACACCAAGCTGTGCCCTATCCAGGGATGGGTGTAGGGGATGTCATCGACCGATGGTTTTCCTATTGGATTCAGGCATGTCCTCCCCCAAGGCTTATTAACAGCTTCTTCTGATACTGGAAAATATGGACCACCCTGCCTCGGCACCAGTATAAGGGCAAGTGGACACACAGGAGTCAAAAGGTGGTCTGTTAATGGAGGGAGAGCAGCAGGATAAATCATGTCTGAGCAAGGGAGCAAATGGAAGTGATCTGGTTATGTGTGCAGAGACCTGTGTTCAGAAAGGTAGTTTGTTATTTAGTGAGTGTTTATTAAATACCTTCCTAAAGGTCTGAGATACCATTAAGACATTTATTTAGGACTGAACATATGTGCAAGAATGGCATCTCTCAGAATATTAGCTCATCAGTTCAAATCCAACATAATCTTCCCTTGAAATAGAACTCACCCCATATTAACGTGAAGTAATCAGTGCCACCAGCATCCTCTAATTTTAAGATTTTTAAAAGAAAAATATAACCAGAAGGCCCAGGTTTCAAAATTGCTGTTAAAGACCAACAAATTAGCAGGAAAGGAGGGATGAAATTTCAAGAAATAAATCTACAAAGTCCTCTGCCACAGAAAGCAGATCTTTGTAGCTTTTTTGGCCTCTTCTGTGAGATCATCGCCACCTTGCTAACATGGGAAAGGCACACCCTTCCATCCCAAAGGGGGAAAAAATAGTCGCCCAAACAGCTTCTACTTGTTTTTACCATATATTCCAGGGGTATGTGTGTGGGGGGTTTTTTGTTTGTTTTTACATTTATACAGTTTACATTGCTTGACCCATAAATAACACTTGTAAGATTAATAGGGCCATAGTTTTAAAGAGTATTTACATAGCCCCTCCATGCATACAGAGCCTTTTTAATATTGAAAAAAATAAAAAAAATGGAACTTTCCATCACTAGGCAATATAAATTTGACCATCTAAACTCATAAACCCTGACTAAAATACAAGCAATCGTTTCATCCATAAATGCGCTTTCTGGTCCCCTAACAAATCTAGCACTGCAGGGTAACAAACGTCTTGCATTTCAGGGGTATAAAAATATCAGCTTTAAAATCTGAACTGTACAGTATGTACATTAATATTTGCACCATTAAATTAGGAATACACTTAAGTCTATGAAATACTACATTATAAATAGCAACCCCCCCCCCAAATCTGGAGCTGGAGCTAATACAATGTAACGTTTACCTGGCTACTGAGGGTTGGAGGGGGGAGGAGGTGGCCTCGCAGGACAGGACGCACAGTGCTGGCTGGGTCGTGTGACTACGCGGACAGACCGTCAGGACCTGGGCCAACCTGGCGCGCGGACGAACACCACTCACTAGTGCTCGACAAAGGCGTCTCAAGTTCTCCGTTGTCTAAAAGTGACAACCCCATCCAATCACCACTCAACAGCTTCTGGAGACTCAAGAGCCGGAGACCAGAGCAGCTGTACCGAACTGGGATGCACCCAACAGGAACCAGACGTCCCGTCCACCTGGCACCATCCGAGGAGGGTCAGCTGGAGAAATCACACCTTCCAAACGTTAATCTGACACCGTAAACAGCAGTCGGGGTCTCATTTACATGGGCAAAGCACTTTAATCTATTTAGCAACTCTCCTATGGAAGAAAAAAAAGATATGATTTAAGATGGTTAATGGCTACGTTTAAATACGATCTCCACAGCTACCAGGTTAGGATATGATGCAGTTTTTGCCCTTGTGTCCCTTTTTCTTCTTGGATTTAGTTGTCCTCGGACCAAACTGGGGGCTGGGCAGTGCAGGAGCGGGGCTAGAAAGGTCGTCTGTGTAGCAGGCGTATCTCTGCGGCCGGGGTTGAGGGATGGGTTGTCCCAGAAAATACCCTTCCTCTTCGGAGTCGGAGGACGAGGAGGTGGAGGAGGAGCACCAGGAGTCGTCATCCTCCCCGCAGAGCCCCAGAAAGCGGTGGACGCCCGGGCTCTGCAGGGCGTAATCGGAGGTGGCGTGCGCGTACTGGCCGTACAGGTCGGCGCCCTGGACGTACGCCTGCACCTCGCGGGCGCTTTTACTCTGTATGAACTTCTCGTAGTTGTCGGGGGTGTAGAGCCGCAGCCTGGCCTTGGGCGAGTACTTCCTTTCCGTCACGAGATTCAGGGCGTTGTCCGAGCGGGACTTGCGGCTTCGCCGGCGGCGGTGGTGGTGGTGATGCGGCCGCGCCCCGCGCTCTTCGAAGTGGTACACGCGCCTCCGCGTGCGCTCGCTCATCGGGGGCTGCCGGACCTCGATGTTCTCGTAGCTCCCGCGGTCAATGACGTCATCCGAGAACTTGACCTGCTGCGGCCGCGACTGGGACTTGGACCTCCTGAGCACCGGCAGGTGCACCGGCTTCTCCTCGGGCATGGTCTTCTCCGCGCACAGCTCTGAACTCAGGCTCTTCAAGGACTCGGCGCTCCTGTGCAGCATGGACGAGTTCAGGGTCCCCATGTTGCTCATCTTCTCGCAGTCTTCTGCCTCCATCTCCTCGAAGTTCTGCAGAGAATATAACGACGGCCTCGGCTTGCTCTCTCCGTCCACCGAAGCCCCTACAGGAAAAGCCAAAACGAGGGCTGATTCTCAGTAATCCCCCTGACGATTATCACCAACAAGCTACTGCAAGGAAGCATTTCGAAGCGAAGCCCCCCGAATCTGAGTATCTGGTCAACAGTCACAAGTCAATACCGACATGCATTTACACTTAACCAAGTACCTGCGTAATGAAGTACGTGAGGAGAGGGATGAATTTTGTTACAAGGGGCACAGTGTCTCTTACGAGCCCAGCTGATCTGAAGCCAGACATAGTTACAGCCCATGGAACGAGCAGCAAAACTTCTAAAAGCTCTTCTTTAAAGTCCCGTCATTAGCATACTAACACAGCATGGAGAAGCTTCAGCCTCTCAACCCATTTAAGCCATACGGCTTCATCTAACATCTCTCCAATCAGTCCTTCCCTTTGCACCCACATGTCCACCATGTGGTCCTCTTCTCACACCCAGACTAGTCTTCCTTCTCTCACATCAGGACTGGTCGTTGCACAGCCACATCCCACCCGCGGCCTGTGTGTGGACAGATTTCCCTGCAACACGTCTACACCTATTTGCCTACAGACTGTCAACAGCTGCCTTCTCCAATGACAGAGTCAAGTCATTGTAACAGAGATGATAAGACCCCCAAAAGGACTATCCAAGTCTTTGACAGAAGTTTGCCAACCCCTGGCCTAGACCTTCATCCAGTCTTCTGTCCCTTCAACCCATAAAATAATGTGCCAGATTAATCTTGTCTTAAAACTCTTCCTGAAACTGGTATTGCTCCCCTTTGCTGCCACAGGGCCCAGGTTAGTGAAGAGAAATGACTATGGTCCAGCTGACTGAGTGACAATCGGGAGTGGTGTGAACTGTCATCATCCGGAAATGACACAGCCACCTCCTAAGGAACCCGTTTTTTCAGCCCGTTACTGTCAAGAAATGTTGGCACTGACATTTACCGTATACCAAGTGATGTCTATTTCTGATACTAAATGTTGAAACACCTAACACAGGGCCTAGCAAACAGAGGTGCTTAATAATTTAGCCTCACCCACCACTCCTGAAGTCCCCTTTACTGTAGGCCTGAATTTTGGCAAGTCTGTCCACAGCCAGGAGGGTGGATGTCTGACCCCTCCTGACCCTGCAGCCCCCTGCACAGGGTCCTCCTGCAGCAGGCAGCTCCTCAGACCTCTCCTGTCTCCATGACAACGTGACCTAACCTTTATGAGAGGACTTGGTGTCACTCATTTGATCATTAAAACCAGCCACCTAACAGCAATACTTCTATCTCCAAAGACTTACTGCAAATATAATATTGAGGAGGTCTGGGTTCTAGGTTCAACCTTCCCTTTGAACACCTCTGTGCAGATACACACTACTATATATAAATAGATAAACAACAAGGACCTACTGTATTGCACAGGGAACTATATTCAATTTCTTATAATGAGCTATAATGGAAAAGAAATGAAAAAATATATACATGTATATGTATAACTGAATTGCTTTGCTGTATGCTTGTAACTAATGTTGTAAATTGACCAAGAAAAAATAAGAATTTACCAAAAAAAAGAGAAGGGGGGGAAACCCCACCTCTGCGGGGCATTCAGCTTCTTGGTAATTCAAGTTTCCTCATTTGTAAAATGAGTAATACCCGCTCTATACACACAGCACAGGGTCATTTTAAGGACAAAATGTAGATAACTGATATGATGGTGCTTTGAAAACATTAATGTGAAATCATTTTAAAATCTGGGTTTAAAAAAAAAACCAACTCAGCTATTTTTGAGCTATCTATTGCCACAAGGCAATTCAGGAAAATACCAAAAAAAAGTGATGCACTTGCCAAGGACACAGGCTGTTTTTAACATTTTGAAATTCATACAGCATGATCCAAAGAGATACAGATCATCAGATACAGATGCAGACTCCATTATCCCAATAAATCCGTTTCTCCTCTTCAAAATAGGGATAATAAAACCCACCCCCAAAGACTGTACTGGAAATGTATTTTGTATGTATGCACACATGTATGACATGCTTGCTTTATCTCAGTGTTTAGCATTTAAGTGAAGCGCCCTCCCCTTCCCTTGGCCTACAGTTGTAAATAACAGCCCCTACTGGTGCTGAAATACAATTTTTGGAATAAACTTTTCAGTGGCTCCTTTTTCAAATACCCTACAATCCCCAGATGACGTACCTGTGATATTAGACAAAGCCAAAGAATCCATGGAATCTCGAACACTCTGCTCTGGTTTCAAGTCTGACAGACACTCCAGGGAATCTTCGTACCACTGTGTTTGCTCGTGATTGTATCCCGAGGCCCCGTGGTCCAGATCCAACTCCTGGAGCCTTCGACTGCTGCCGGGGCCCGGGTGGCTGCCATACGCAGAATCGCCCAGTCCATCTTGGGACTGCGCCCAATACATATCAGACTGGTATTTTTTACTTGCAAGGCTCTGGTTATTTTGCTTCAACTCGGTCTTATTTTTAACCATGTTATCAGATATCCAGTGCTCGCTGGCTCGAATGTCCGTCTCGCTGGGCTGCTGCTGAAAGAGGCTTTTATCACCAAACTTGAGGAGGAGCTGCGTCATGTAATCTTCATGCTCGGCCCACTCTTCAGGGTCTTCTGGGGTTTCGTGCTCCACCCGGCCTTTCCAAAATTCTTCATTGACAAAACTTGCTCCTTGCCGGGAAAGGCTCAGATCATCCAGTTTCCGAGAAAGGGTGTCGTCAGCGTTGTCTGAGAGGCCGGGGAACTTGTAGTTCAGAGCCGGGGCCAAGAGGAGAGACTGGCGACACTGGTCTGCTGACCGGCTGCTCTTGCCCATGCGGACGCTCCTTCTGGAGTCCCTCGACCGAGCTGACTGGAAGGCAGAGTCGGAGGAGTCCGAGGCGTGGACGTCTTCCCCGAGGCTGCACGTCTTGGAGCAGTAGATCTGACCCTGCTTGGGGAGGAAGGGACACCCCAGCAGGGAGGCTTTGCACTGGGCGCAGGAAAAGCAGGCCTCCGTCGCGTGCCAGTGCTGCCCGCCGTAGGTCATCTGCGCGTGGTCCACACCTGGTTCGAAAAGGATAAAGTAACAGGTCATTGCTCCACCTTGAGACGAAGGAAGAGGAAACAGGAAAGACAGACTGTGGGCAAGAGGGCACTCTGAGGGGGGACTGGAATGTCGTGGCTCTTGCTAGGGCTGTGAGTCAGGCAGTGTTCACTCTCCTTACTTGCAGATTCCACGTTTACAGATCTGCCCACGTACAGGCTAAAATTCATTTGTGGTTCCAAAACTGATCCTCGCCGAGCTTGGAGGGTCATTTGTGGACATGTGCAGGGTGGCAGAAAACTGGAGCCCACCGACACGCCTGTCCCAGCCGAGGTCAAAGCGACCCTGCTTTTTGGCTCAGTGCTGATAATACACAAGTGGCCAGTTAAGTGCCGGGTTTTGTTTTCTAGCCTTTTTGGTGCTCTCTGTCGGTGTTTTGCTGTTTAAAATGGCCCACGCATGTGCTGAAGTGCTGTCTGGTGTTCCCGAGCACGAGAAGGCTGTGCGCTGCCCCCCAGAGGCGGTCCGTGCTAGGTGAGCTTCGCTCAGGCAGCAGTAAGAGGGTGTGGGCTGCGGGTTCAGTGTGAACTCACGAACAGCATATAGTACGTAAGGTGTCTGTCAACCAGGACACACACGAAACAAGATCCTACACTGACTGGCCTATGAAAACTTTGCAACCAGAGGCCTGTAGGAACCTAACCCTGTTCCCCCAGGAGCGATGGTTCCGTGCTGGGTAACTCAGTGCTCACGGGACTTTACAGAACGTAACTACCCCAATAACGAGAATCAAGGATACACCCGTTTCTCAAAACTCATCAAACTGAAACACTGAAGATCTACACATTTCACTGTAGGCAAACGATGCCTCAATTTAAAAAAGAAGAAACAAGAAGACCATGGGTAGTCACAGACAGATGACGACGGGCCAGCGACAGGGGCGGCGGCCTCACCGATGTGCTCCCCGCAGGTCTCGCAGTACTCGGCGTACAGGGACTCGAAGCAGCCACAGCAGAAGGGGCGGCCGTCCTTCATGATGTACCTCTGCCCCCCGAGCACCGTCTCACACTCAAGGCAGCAGAAGTGCTTCATGTGCCAGTGGCGGCCCTCGGCTTCTGTGCACTCGTCAGCAAAGATGATCTTAAAGAAGACCCAGGAAACCACAGATGAAAGAGAATCATGGTGAGCAATTTTAAAAGCCGAGGAACTGCATGCATTTTCTCGGGGCAACTGACAACAAAGACTCTGGCTCTTTAAGAAGCTGCTCAGATGGCGGATTTGGTTTCCTAGAGCCTCAAGCCTCAGTCTAACTTGGTTTAGCTACAAAACAAGAATGGAAATGGAAAATGTTGAAAAAAGGAGAAACTAAGTACATGCTTAAACTTTAAAAAACAGAACAGAATTCTACACTGGAGGTAATGCGTTTGGTCCTATTTGTGCTCCCGGTCACACTTTGATCGCATAATCTGGCAAAGAAATCATCAACACAGATAATTCAGCGCTCTCTGTGTTTAAAACCAAAATCATTAACGTGGCTGGGGGGTCTGCCCAGCTAGTGCTACCCGGATGCTGGACTGTGTGAACAGCATTTGTGAGGCTAATGCTTCATCTGACCTGGTGGCCATCTCCAGACTAAAGACTTTTAGATGTTTTCTGTTTTTGGTTTCAAAAAATTTTTAAACTAGCCCATCATTGGAGGAAACGTAAACATACAAAAGTAAAAACTGCAAGTTTGCTGCCACTGATTGAAGTGGTCTAGGGAGAGATACTGAATAAATGTTAATGAGGTGCCCTGGATGGGGTCTTGGAAGAGAAAATAGAGGCATTAGTAGAAAAAGTGATGAAATCTAAACCTACAGTTTAGTTCACGGTATTACCCCACGTTGATACCGTAGTTGTGATGCGTACGCCGTGGTGATGTTATATTTGTATGTTCACAGCAGGGGAGCTGGGAGAAGGGTACACAGGGACTGTGTGTAATAGCTTTGCAATCCTTCTACAAACCTCAGGTTATTTAAAGATAAAAGGCTCAAGGAAAGAAAACTTCCTCTCCCACCGCCAGCCCTTCCCACGTGCGCCGGGGGGAACCACTGTTAATTTAGCGCCTGTCTTTACATATGCCGTTTCTGAGTGTTTACAAATGTATACAATCTTGCCTCTTGACTCCCTCTTTTCTTTTTTAAATAAAAGTTAAGATCAGTTGCTCCATACGCTTGCTGCACAGTTTCTTCCCTCCCAATCCATCACGGACATCCTCCTTATCGAAGCACAAAGACACCTGCTACCTTCTCTGTGTTGTCTACACATTATTCCACCACACCAATGTACAAGGTTATCATAGAAATACACACACAGCAGGCCCACAGGAGAGGCTTCTGCTCTGCGTGGGTGGGAGCAGTGGAATACTGGCTTACTGGAGGCTTATTTTCCTCGCCATTAAGGGCTGAACTTGTTACCTCGTCGCAGGCGGAACACCGGGGCTTCAGCAGTTCGGCGTGGTGCCTGCCGCAGTGGATTTTTCCATCCTGATAAAAATAGATGAGGTCGACCAGCAGTTCGTTACACGTGAAGCAGACAAAACAGGACGGGTGCCAGCACACGCCGGGGCCCGCTCGCGAGGCGAACACGGCGATTTCTCCTCCGTTGATCTTCAACCCACACTGAAAACAAAAGGATCTGGGGTTTAAATGGCCCTTTTTTAATGACTGGATTCCCAGCCTTTCCCCCGTTACACTCAAGCCCACATCTCTTGGGAAGACTTCGTCCCCTCTTGCTAGTGACTCCATGCCTCTTCGGTGCTGGAGTATTTGATTCTCCCCTGGAATGAATGTGCCTCAGACACACCACCACCTGGGGCTGTTTCTTTCTTTCTTTCTTTTTTGAAACAACTTTATTGTAGTATAATTTCTGTGCAGTAAACTAAACATATTCGGATGTACAATGTGATGAACTTTGATAAATGTATGAGGTGCAAATTTTGAACTCCCAGTTTATCCCTTCCCACCCCCTTTAATCCCTGGTGACCATAAGTCTGTTCTCTATGTCTGTGAGTCTGTTTCTATTGTGTAGATAAATTCATTTGTGTCCTTTTTTTTTTTTAAGATTCCACATATGAATGATATCATATGGTATTTTTCTTTCTCTTTCTGGCTTACTTCACTTGGAATGAATTCTGGGTCCATCTATGTTGCTGTAAATAGCATTACCTTATTCCTTTTTATTGGCTGAGTAATATACACACACACACACACACACACACACACACACACACACACACACACACACACACA